TAATAATGTCTTTCCCACAAATCACAGCAGAAACAGAGGGATTGGTTCACACAGATGTCACACAAACATTCTGCTGCAGACTAGGATTCTGGGTATTTTGCATGCAAATGAAGAAAGTGAGCATAGTCTTTAGAAGTACCTTATGTACATAAACTCTTGTCCACAATATTAGCACCGACACAACAAAGGTACAATAATCCCTTCACCGTAAGGGAGGTCCACGGAGATGTGTTGTCACACTTTTCACATTTGTGTCTTTTTTTTTTTTTTTTTTTTCAACCCATTTTGCCATCCGATGAGATTACAGTATCAAGTTTTTAAAAAAAAAGTCTTTACAGTAAAAGCTTGTATATATAAAACCACATGAATGATTCAGCCCTCAGAGCCAGTTGTCTCCACTGTCGTCATAAAAAACAGACGGGGGGCTCATGCAATAAAAAAGGAACAGTTCTTGTTGGCCATCGCAGCCAATCAAATTGCACTGGGAGAATGAGTAAGAGAATCTAACTGGCTACCTTAGGAAACGTTCTTCCTTTTAATGGTTTTACGCATGAGGCCCCCAGATGGATGGCTTACTTATGGAAACTCAAGCAAAGAAAGTGGAAATATTGGCACTAACGGCCAACTGGATTTTGCGTTTTTTGGCCGCCCTGGATTATGGCTCCACATCTGATCCGGTTGTCTTTGCTCATGTTGTAATAAATTAGCCCCAATGTCTTCTTTTGTCATTTGCACTGGAAACCTTGAAGAGGAAGTATATATTATGTACATTTTATTACATCACTCCTTAGACTGCTGGGGATGTGTTCCAAGGTAAATATTAAAAAAAGGCACTGCAATGTTTTTGAGTCTTTAATATCTTGTCTCTATCAGTTTTTGTGGTACACAGACAGGACAAATAGATTTACCCCTCTGGGTCATTAATAGGAAGGGGAGACCAGTGAATGGACATTCTCTGATCTCCCTCCCCTTTTTCCCAATGAAACCCACCAAACTGGTCCCAGGTCCACCAATGGGTGCATGAAGCCAAGGAAAAATGGTGGGGGTGTGCAGGAAGCGGGTGGCGGCAGTTACCAGGGTGTGTGCAGCTGCTGGATGGCTTTCAAAGTTGGCTTCAAAGATTTACACACAATCCCAGTGGCTGCATCTATTAGGTTTACTGGTCCCCTTATGTTTAGTCAAGTTTGCCACCTCACATTGGATGGATAGGACCATTTTGCTATGGCCTGGGATTAAATAAATTCCATACAGTAGGTTGTATAAAATATGATGGCCACTGTAGATAGACTGTTCTAAATGTAAATATTTTACCACTGAAATTCTGGAAGGATATAAAAAATTGATGGTTCATTAAGACTTTCTGCATCTACCCAAACCTGAATGACCCTTTTTTGGGTGGACCTATCCTATAATTATGAATAGTGAAACAAAGGAGGAGCTATTTTATTTTCCATTACTAATTTAATGAGTTCTTTGTGGTTGGGGTAAACTCAATTTGAGATGCCTGTGTCCACCATCAGCTTATGAGCAGCTTGAGAGAAAAAGGCTTAATTGTAATTTACAACGAAAGAAATCCCTTTTTTAAAACATAATGTTAACCAAAATTCTATTGACAATACTTCCCCTTTAGACTGGTGCCAGAGACAAAGAAGATGAGAAAAGATTATAGTCACCACCATGATGATTCTCTTCCATTACACCTCTCACACACTTACGAAAAAACAAAAATCAGCAATACGCATAGCTCAACTTCTACAAAAGCAAAAGAAGTAAAACAAGTCTTAAAAAATGAGGTAGCAGTTGTGTGTTCAAAGTTTGGAAGTGCATCACATTGGACTTCAAAGTAAATCATTGAAATGAAGGGAATGTTACCTCAAAACAACATTATTATTATTAAGGAGCCACATAAGGAGAAAAGGAATGACCCGAGTTTCTTGTGTGCTGTTTCAGACAGAACAGATAGAAAAATTGTTTCTAACGTGGCATTTATTTTAGAGGACCACCATGTCTTTCTAGTAAAGTTTTGGGAGTGGGATCCTTGTTTGTTATGGAGGCATTTATTGTAGAAGATCACCATGTTTTTCTAATAAGATTTTGGAGGTGGGATCTATGTTCTTTACAGTGGCATTCATTTTAGAGGACCACCATAACTTTCTAATAAGATTTTGGTGGTGGAATCCATGTTAGGTACGGTGGTATTAATTTTAGAGGACCACCATATCTTTCTAATAAGATTTCGGTGGTGGAATCCGTGTTCTTTATGGTGGCATTCATTTTAGAGGACAACAATATCTTTCTAATGAAATTTTGGTGGTGGGATCCATGTTCTTTATGGTGGTACTCATTTTAGAGGACCACCATATCTTTCTAATAAGATTTTGGTGGTGGAATCCGTGTTTTTTTTTGGTGGTATTCATTTTAGAGGACAACCATATCTTTCTAATAAGATTTTGGTGGTGGAATCCATGTTCTTTATGGTGGCATTTATTTTAGAGGACTACCATGTCTTTCTAATAAGATTTTGGTGGTGGGATCCATGTTCTTTACGGTGGCATTCATTTTAGAGGACCACCATATCTTTCTAATAAGATTTTTGTGGTGGAATCCATGTTCTTTATGGTGGCATTTATTTTAGAGGACTACCATGTCTTTCTAATAAGATTTTGGTGGTGGGATCCATGTTCTTTACGGTGGCATTCATTTTAGAGGACCACCATATCTTTCTAATAAGATTTTGGTGGTGGCGTCCATGTTCTTTATGGTGGCATTCATTTTAGAAGACCACCATATCTTTCTAATAAGATTTTGGTGGTGGGATCCATGTTGTTTATGGTGGCATTTATTTTAGAGAACCACCATGTCTTTTTAATAGGATTTTGGTGGTGGGATCCTTGTTCCTTCAGCCAAAATGTTTTCTCAATTTTTTGGTAGAATGTAGGCATATAAGGGATAGAACTTTAATAAGGTTTAGAACCTGATTTAGGTATGTATTGCTGTCCATGTCCCTGTTGGCGGGATGTGCTCTTCAATTTTACCATTGTTACCGGTATAAAACGTGAACAGAAAACTCCCAATCTGTTCTAGAGACTGAGATTACAACTCACTTTGATGAGATGTCTACTCATTTCTGATTAATGAGTTACAGACAGCAATAAAAAATTATTAAAAAATCTTCCCTACTTAATAAAAAAATCCCAATCTGTTCTGGGGACTGCAATTGGAGGTGGGATTGCCCCTCACTTTGATAAGATTTCTTCTCACTTCTGGTTGTGTCTCTAGAATAAGAAGTGAGGGTAAATTTCCTCAATGGGGACAGACAGGGATAACAAATTGATAAAGATTCAAAACCTTCCTTACTCATTACAAAACTCTGGAGACTACAGTCTAAGGTGGAATTACCCCTTACTTTGATGAGATTTCCTCTCACTTCTGGTTGTGTCTCTAGAATAGGAAGTGGGAGTAAATTTCTCCAGTGGTGGACAGACAGGGATAAAAACCTAATAAAGGCCTGTCCTGGTGACTGTAGTCAAAGGTGGGATTACGGCTCACTTTGATGAGATTTTCTATCTTTTCTGGTCATGTTTCTAGCAGTTCTTTAGTAGTCCACATGCTCTCACCCAATTCTCCCTGCTGTGGCCATTACAGGTACAGGTTATAGGTACTGTGGTCCTGGAAGGGTTAATCCGCCTATGAGAGGACTGAAATGGGCAGGAAACAGTCAGCGGGTGTCCATGATGTGTGGTCTGAAGTAGGAAACGCTTGTGAGAAAGAGCTGTGTACTGTTTGGGCTAACGAGGTACTTCTGAGCTGTGGTGACCTTACTTTGGGCCGCTGGAGCAGGTGGGGACTTTAAGCCCTGTAATGGGACAAGGTTTTGCTGGCGGGTGAGCCGAAGTTATGCATTATACCTGGTGTTGACAGACTGTTCTATTTGTTTTCATACTGAAAGCTGGCTGGTTTTTCATTTACCTTTTGAAAAATAAATATTGTTTGCTTTTACCAACATGGCAGGCTGGTGCCCCCCAACTCCCCCATATATCATAAAGTGTATTCATATACATATTCAGAATTTTCCTTGGGCAATAGAACTTGCACAAGCAGTAAGATATGGTAGATATGCTTGTAACAGATAGAATGAGGTTTGGTCTGAAATGTTTTGGGTAAGGGCTTGATTTTAAAAATTAAAACTCTAGGGTAAAAAAATTCCATAAATTAAATCATTAGGCAGGCATTTCTACCACACATTCCTCATTAGGTGGCTCACTTAGACAGACTGAGCGATTCATGCAATAGTTTTCCCTTAAAATACCCAAAATTTAAAAAAAAAACAAAAAAAAAACAAACCTAAATAAGAAAACATCCACTGCCGGGGCACATACCCATGCTGGACATGTATGAAGGAATCAAGAATAATAGACAGATCACACTTGAAAACATTCATCCCGGTTGAGGTAGGTTTGGTGAATGACCTCTGCATACGGACTCTTGTTACAGTCTATATCCGTCTCATAACAAGTCAAAATATAAAACAAAAAAAATGAATGAAAACTACGAAAAATGAAATATTAAAAAGTCCAACCAGGCTACAAAAGCAGCAGACATCCCTGGGATATTCCCAGGAGTCTCAACATTCATCTGACACAACAATACAAAAGAGCAGATCAGAATTATCAGTGGGTAGTGACATGAAAAGAGGTAAGTTCTCTACAAAACCTGTAGGTCCTGCAGCCAGAGGGCTTCCAGCAGGCGATTTCTGTGTAGTGAAAGTGAACAAAAAAAAAAAGAGACGGCTGCTCACAGTCTCTGGAGAGTAACAGTCTATAAGTGCCGCGTTCTCACATATAATAATAAAAAAGTACAAAATTCTATCAAAAGGATATAAAGGGATCACAGGGTTTGGAAAAATGGAGACCTGAGATTGTGTAAAAAAAAGCTCCATCAGACTAGGCTGGTAAGGAGCAGCAAGGATTCAGGACCAGCTTTAGAGAAAGATCGGAGGCTCAGTCCTTGGTTGTGGCTGTAAGGCTTGATGTAAGGTGCCCTGGAGGGTCTTCTTCGGTAAAGCTGATTTCATCTGGAGTGATGGTGGACACCAGGGTTTCATCCAAAGGACAAGACGGAGCAGATTGTTGCTGAAAGAGAGAAAAGTGGTTAGTGCCCTAAAGCCTCACATACAATGCCTGATTGAAAGACAGTCTGTCTTTGCTATCATATCAACCAATCAGAGCCTCCCGTACATGGTCTAACCCAAACTTTCTCAACCTTTTCAACACAGGGGAACCCCTGAAATATCTATCCAGTCCTAGGGTTCCTCTGCTAAAAATTACTATATCTACAACTCATGGTACATTAATGTGATGGTCATTGAGAAGAAAGCTCCTAACACTTGTGGCTAATGGGAAGAATTACCCCCTTACAGATACTGTAGGTAAAAAGATCAATGGTGTCAGTGAGAACTTACCTGAGAGGCGGAAATTGCTAATTGCTCAAGGAACCCTTAGTAACCTCTGGAGGAACCTTAGAGTTCCTTGGAACCCTGCTTGAGGAACTCTGGTCTAACCTGACAAACATTTCAGACATAAGGCTCTTACAGTGGTAGTCATAAAGGATGTCCTAGACCAGTGATGGCGAACCTATGGCACGCCAGGAAGAAGAGGAAGATGAGCGCACACGGACCGCACACACTGACTGGCCATCCAGATCTTGTTCACACTCCCCTTTGAACTACATTTCCCACATGTCTCTGGGGCCAGGGTGGGGCGTGGACGAGAGGAAGCGGCTCCCACACGTCTCTGGCGTCAGGGGTGACGTATCCGGGGATGGGCGTGGATGAGAGGAAGTGGCTCCCACATGGCTCTGGTGTCACAGGTGACATACCCAGGGATGGACGTGGATGACAGGAAGCAGCTCCCACACTGCTCTAGGGCCAGTGGTGACGTGTCTAGCGTGGATGAAAGTAAACGGTCCCACACTACTCGGGGCCAGGGGCAACATGCTCAGTATGGATGGGAATGAGCTGGTGGGTTGGAAGCCATACCGACCCTGCAGAGGTGAGATTAACTGCTTCCCAACCGTGCTATAGCCGAAAGCAGGCTACAGTGCGGTTGTCTAGTTCTGGGAAGGCTTCCATGGACGTCCTCATGGAACACACCCCCTGTGCGCCCCCAGGGGTGCGCACCCAGTGCTGTCAGTGATAAATTTGTGTTGCAGTTTGGGCACTCGGGCTCAAAATGGTTCACCATCACTGTCCTAGACCCTCTTTAAAAGTCTCTCACTCCTACACACAACTGTTGGTACAGCTAACAGATTTATGTAAGGTTGTGATCAAACGTTTGCATAAATCATGACATTTTGGCATTGATATTGAAAATATGGCTGATCATGCCAAAAAAACTGTATTTTATTTAACTACTTCCAGTCCAGACACTTTCACCCCCTTCCAGTCCGGACACTTTCCCCACCTTCCAGTCCGGACACTTTTACCCCCTTCCTGTCCAGGCCAATTTTCAGCTTTCAGTGCTATCACACTTTGAATGACAATTGTGCGGTCATGCACACACTGTACCCATATGATTTTTTTTGCATTTTTTTGAGACAGATAAAGCTTTATTTTGGCGATATTTATTAACCACTGGGATTTTTATTTTTTTGCTATGTAAATAAAAAAGTCCAAAAATTTTGAAAAAAAGTGTTTTTCTTATAAAATTTTGCAAATAAATAATATTTCATCTATATTTAAATCTTGGCCAACATTTATTCCGTTATCTTTTTAGTAAAAAAAAAAATAACCCAAATTAGTTTATAACCAAAAATTATTATTTTTAAACATTTTTTTATTACATTTTTATTTTATTTTTTTTATATTATTATTTATTTTATTTTTGTTTTACATACCGTCACCCTAGCAGTACAGTGTCACCTTGGTGACACTGTACTACTTGTGCGGGGTGATGAAGATTTTTTTTTTTTATTACACTGATTGCTTTTACACTGTGTGAGCTGTGATTGGTCACAGCTTGTCACCTGGTACAAGGCTGTTGTGAATAGCCCTGTACCATGTGACCATTCACAGATTTCACACGTAGTAAGCAATAATGTCAGAAGTGACATCTTGCTTACTACTCTGCATGTGATCACTGATTGGCCAATCAGTGATCACACGATCGGGACCTCACACAGAGGTCCCGTACAGCGATCGGTGTTCCACTGTGTCCGGAGGACACAGCGGGCACCGGATCGTGGTGCTGCATGCTCCCAGGGAGCGCGCACAAGCAGGGGGTGGGGAGGCCATTTATAAATGGCCACCCAACCCTGCACTGCCACTGTCCAGCCGCTTATATACAACGGCCGGACGGGAGGTGGTTAAGGAGAGTGATCATATGAAAACTTTTGATCACAACTGTACCTATTACCTGGCAAAATGTACTGGGTCTTCCCAAATGTCATAATTTTTTCTGTGACTGTCCTGGGAATTGAGCAATGAAATGAATGGAGCACAGGTTTAGTTAAAGGTTGTTAAACAAATGTCCATCTGGATCTGGTGGTACTGAGGGGATTGGATTAAGGTTAAATATACTATATTGCCAAAAGTATTGGTCGGCCGGCCTTCCCACGCACATGAACTTTAATGGCCCCCAGTCTTAGTCCGTAGGGTTCAATATTGAGTTGGCTCCGCCCTTTGCAACTGTAACAGCTTCACCTCTTCTGGGAAGGCCGTCCACAAGGTTTAGGAGGGTGTCTATGGGAAGGTTGGACCATTCTTCCAGAAGCGCATTTGTGAGGTCAGGCACTGATGTCGGGGGAGGAGGCCTGGCTCGCAGTCTCCGCTCTAATTCATCCCAAAGGTGTTCTATGGGGTTGAGGTCAGGACTCTGTGCAGGCCAGTCAAGTTCCTCCACCCCAAACTGGCTCCTCCATGTCTTTATGGACCTTGCTTTGTGCATTGGTGCGCAGTCATGTTGGAACAGGAAGGGGCCATCCCCAAACTCTTCCCACAAAGTTGGGAGCATGAAATTGTCCAAAATCTCTTGGTATGCTGATGTCTTAAGAGCTCCCTTCACTGGAACTAGAGGGCCAAGCCCAACCCATGAAAAATAACCCCACACCATAATCAAAGTAGGTAGCAACAATACATTGGCAACAGTAGCTTAACATAAAACTGTTATTACACAATTAAATTTATGGGTAAGGCTTGCCTACATGGAAAGGAGAGGTCATTCGAGAAAAGGCAAGAGAAAGAAGAGTCTCAAATATGGGTAAGGAAGAGGGAAAGGGGTGGGGGAACAGGTATCCCACTGGGCAATGCAAGCACTCTAACTCCATATATCAGAGAGAGAGAGCAATAACCGATAAAGGTTAAAGTGTTACTAAACCCCGGACCCTGCATTCACTATATCCGGTCTCCCCAGACCCTGCATTCACTATATCTGCTCTCCCAGGACCCCACATTCACTAAATCCAGTCCCCCGGACCCCGCATTCACTATATCTGGTCTACCTGGACCCTGTATTCACTATATCTGGTCTCTCCTGGACCCTGCATTCACTATATCTGGTCTCCCTGGACCCTGCATTCACTATATATCCGGTCCCCCGGACCCTGCATTCACTATATCTGGTCTCCCCGGACCCTGCATTCACTATATCTGGTCTCCCCGGACCCTGCATTCACTATATCTGGTCTCCGCGGACCCTGCATTCACTATATCCAGTCCCCCGGACCCTGCATTCACTATATCTGGTCTCCCCGGACCTGCATTCACTATATCTGGTCTCTGCGGACCCTGCATTCACTATATCCGGTCTCCCCGGACCCTGTATTCACTATATCCGGTCTCCCCGGACCCTGCATTCACTATATATGGGCTCTCCTAGGACCCTGCATTCACTATATCTGCTCTCCTAGGACCCTGCATTCACTATATCCAGTCTCCCCGGACCCTGCATTCACTATATCTGGTCTACCTGGACCCTGTATTCACTATATCCGCTCTCCCTGGACCCTGCGGTCTCCCTGGACCCTGCATTCACTATATATCCGGTCTCGCTCTCCCAGGACCCCTGCATTCCCTGGACCCTGCATTCACTATATCTGGTCTCCCTGGATTCACCCGCACCCCGCAGTCACTTTATCCGCTCTCCCTGGACCCTGCATTTACTATATCCACTCTCCCTGGACCCTGCATTCACTATATCTGGTCTCCCACAGTACACAGAACATGAAAATGCAATTATTTTAGTAACTATAAACTGCTAAATATCTTTTCTCATCAGCAGTATATAGCAGTCTTGTGACTTCTATCAGTGTCCAGCAGAGCACTGGTTAAAGCTTGTAGGAGGAGTTTTCATTCTCAGCCAATTTTCCTATGAGGCTGCATAACCCCTGACCTCTGTCTGGACAGCGCTGATTGGCCATGTGCTGATCAAATGCACTCTCCCAGGAAGAAAAATAATCTCTAGCAATACACACTAAACTGAGCATGTACAGCATGCCCCCAAAGCTCTGTTCTATCAGCAGATGGATTGGGGACAGTAGAAGAAGGGGAGGATCAGAGAAGACAGGATCAAACATCCTTTTTACACAATGCAGAGGATTAACCCCTTAGGTTCCACAGTGAGTATAACAAGCACGCTTTACTGCATCTACAGACTGATTGTACTGTTGGGGGTTTAGTAACACTTTAAGAATGCAGTTGTGATCTAACAATGGAGACCTTGTTTTCAGGAATTTTGAGTGACTCATTTAGTATGGAGGTTCATTTTTCATGAATTACGGTTGCCATGATCCTCTGTTTGCTTCCATAAAATTTAGGGATGGCGGTCCCCAAGCTTTGACGATCTGATTCTGCATTTTTCAGTTGTTGGTATGAAAAACCAAACAACCAACAATAGGAAATACTATAACAAAAAGTGGCTGTGGAGAGTAAAAAAGAAAAAAAAAAGAAACAAAACGAAACAAAAGTAAAAAAATAAATAAAAACGATCTTCAAAATAAAAACAAAAAATTTAAATTATAACAAAAACAACCTAAATAAATCCAAATATAAAGATACAAGGTAAACAGCTGGAAAATATTTTGTGACAAGCAAAGCAACATGAAGCATCAAAGACACCAAAGTTTGTCCAACATGCCG